TCTTTCTTTCTTTCTTTCTTTCTTTCTTTCTTTCTTTCTTTCTTTCTTTCTTTTTTTTGCATTACCGGGTCCAACAGCATTTTATTATAATGTTTCAAATAATATGTTGTGTTTCAGAACAAAGCAAAACAACCATGGTGTCATTTAGAAGAGAGTGAAACAAATGTTTTGTCTTTTCTGTAATTGTTTTCTAATAGTTACCTACCATTTATCAGATGACTGTTTCCAAACAATTCCGGAAATTTACACTCCTGTTTTTTATTCATTTATTTAAAGGCTTGGTCCTCCCCCACCTGAATTCATTATTAAGCAGAGTCTTCAAAAAGAGAGAATCTCTTAGAAATTCTGTGCTAACTCATCTTTATCATAGACCCACCTATAAATTCTGAGTGCACTTTTCCAAGGGAAACCACAGAGGGCTGCAACCAAAATGTGATGTAGATGATGGAGAAAGACACCCCCAACTATCAGGTAAGGAAAAAAATGGTCAAGAGAAATAATTTTATTTTTATTATCTCTTCTCTTGAGCAATATTATTTTACAAAGATGGGGTATGTTTATTTTACTAAATAATTCAATATAGGTTGGTTGATTGATTGATTGATTGATTGATTGATTGATTGCCGTTCCTCCTATAATAAGGTTTTAGTATGCATTGCTGGAGAAGAGTTTAATCAGCCACAAACCCCACTGCTTCATGTCTGGAATCTGAATCTGGTAAATAGACAGAATCAAAGTATTTGATATGGTGAATACTCAGCAAGCAGCAGCAGCAGCAGCCCCTTTTCCTTTGAACCTGAAAGTCTGTTGAAGTCCCCTGTGCCAGCTGATGGTTTGTACTAAGTTGGAAAAGTTAACTGCTCCAAGATGAGGCAATGCTAAGGTTGATAGAAAAGGTATTTAAATAGTTGCCACTGCTTCAGATCCAGGCCACAAGCTTTCTATACCTAGCACAGTATTGGTTTTAAAAAAATACTGTAATGAGAGAAAGAGAAAGAGAACGAGAGAGAGAGAGAGAGAGAATTGAAGCACACAGGGCACATCCAGACAGTTGCTTTAACATGCTTTCCTCCATTCCAGGAAGCAACATAAAAATATGCCAACCAATTTGTTGTGCCCCAACAGACAACTTCTGTTTTGCTTCAGCAAGCAGTGTGGCTATGACAGCTTTAATGTGAGACAAGGAAAGTGTTTGCTGGATTTCCTGCTGGCAGGGAAATATTAACCAACTGATCTTTCTCAGATGGGCTGGGGTTGGAAGATAAGGTGAATTTTGATAGATGGCTAGACCCACGGGTCTAGTGGTATGTCAAAACTTAATCCCTGGGATGGAGATGGGGTCTTTCTGCCTCTTCTGCTTTACTGCACCATGTCCCCTGCTCGCCCTGTGGATGATCTGTGGATTACCTCTTTCTCTAGCTCTTTCTCTTCTTTGTCTCTCTTGAATTTTCTCTTTTGGCTGTTCTCTCACTTTTTCACTCTGCTTTGCTTGCTTGCTTTCACTTTCTGGCACCTTCTCACTTTGTCTGGCACTCTCCCTCTATCTCTTGCTCTCTCCCGCTCTCTTTGGGCTTTGCTTGCTTGGTCTGTTTTTCTCATGCTTTCTCTTGCTCTATTACTAGTGTACACTTTCTTATTAATACTACTCATTCGTGTTTCTCTCAATCTCTCACCCACTTGGTCTCCTTTCCTTGGTATCACCCTCTTGCTCTGCCTAAGACCAACTAAAGAGGTGCTGGTAGGTGGACCCCCTGCTTCTCAGGCCAACCTCCCTTCTCTAGCAATTCAGGTCATCTTCTCTGCCATTCCTGTTGTCAGAAGGCCATCAAAAACTGTTGCACCAGACATTATGCAAAAGGAGCAATCATGGGGGGGGGGGCGGGGTGTTGTGTTGCGCCAAGTTCCAGTGTGGCTTATAAATCATGAACTTTTTAATCATGTAATAAATGAGAAAAGCAGATGTTATTTTGCACAGAGAACATCCATTTCTCTCCAAAAATACCCCCTCCCCAACTGGCAGTTGCCAAGTCTGGTGTGGGTATGCACATTGTGGCCAAAAGTGGCCAATAGGAACAAACAAATGAATTTACTTGTTCCTTTATTTTAATTTCACTGCGTTTAGACTGCTTTGTGATATGGCAGTGTTTTAATTGTCTTTACTGATTTCGTCTTAATATGCTTTATTGTCAAAGTACATTTTTCTAAATTATCCTGGGAGTTTGATGAAGGGCAGGATATAGATCCATAAAATATGAGAGTTCATGTACTTGTATGTTGAGTCAAGCAATGTTAAATCCATGACAGGACTCTGCTTTTTCCAATCAGGAAGTTTGGGCAATCAGGGAGACTGCAAAATGATGGGAAAACATGAAACAGAAAATAGCGATCTCAGTAAGTGATACCTTTCAGTGTCTCCAGCAATAAAATAAGCTGATATCGGGACAACATTCTAAAGACTATCAAGTAGCTTGAGAAAAAGAGGAAAAGCAGAAGCCTCCTTTGCAAATGGCAAAATTAGAAGATAGATCTGAACCCAGTCCTGGAAGGACTCTTGCTCACAGTAAGCTATAGCCAGAGCCCTGGATAGCAACTGGGAACATTGAGAATGGAGAAGGCAGTTTTGGGCCCTGTTTCCTCTAGCGGTAGCTTTCCAACAGGCAGATAAATCTTGAAAATTCTCTCTGGAGAGAAAGGGGACAATTCTCCCAATGTGAAAGTGGGAAGAGTGCAAAGAGGATGTCTTTTTTGTTTTTCTAAAAACACCATTCAGCTTCTTGGCTGTTCTCTTTCTCATTTCTCAATTCTCATTTTTCTTTCTAATTTCAATACTGTGGTCCCTCCGATCTTCTGCAGTACTGCTGCCCATCTCCTGCCCAGGCCTTCTCCTCTTCACTCTGCTGCAGATGTAGAACAGCTTTGAATCTCAGCACACTTTAAAACTTCGACCAAAACACATTATGATCCATCGCCAGATGCAGATTGTTAATGTCTAGGTTTTAAATCTAACTAACAACATTTTCAAATTGCTGCCACTCGTTCTCTTTAGGTCTGCATTCTGCAGCATTATCTTTAATTTTGTTTCTTAAATACTCCCTTATGCCCCATGATTTGCAGAGGATGCCTTTAGACAGAAATTAAAACTATCTGCTTTATAATTATTTTTCTAAAGAACTCACAGAGGATTCCCACATTATCAAACTGTATACATACAAAGGATGTAATATTGATGAGTATTTTCCACTTCTGCTTTGTTTTCCTTATTTGAAAGGTAGTGTATGTTCTGGGAATGTTTTGTTTTGTTCCAGGATGAACTTAAGGGAATCTTTGGGCAATGTCATTGGGGTACCCATTGCAAGATGCACTTTCATATAAAAACTCAAGAACCCTAAGATGCTACATTTCAGATGAAAATCTTGGCAAAGTGGCAGAATCAAAGGAGTTCGTGCGTGATGAGAAACTTTGAAACAATCATTCTTGATCACAATGAAGAATGTATATACATTAAGGAATATGCACATGAGCCTTTTTTATTTATGGCAAACGTGCAAGTACTAGAGTAGGCAGATGCCTTGGCATTTCAGTGTTATAACTGGTGAGCACAATCTGTTTCTCTCCATGCTCTTTATGGGGCTGTTAAAAAAAAAAGCAGATACAAGTTTACACTTCATCAGCAGAATTATATTCCCCCAGTCATGGAAGAAGTCACAAGAAGAAGTCCTGAATTTAGTTCTTTAAGAATTCAGATAAACTGGAACAGGTTCAGAGAAGGGGAATGAGGATGATCAGAAGACTTGGAATTAAGTCCTATGAAAAGAGATTGAAGGAACTAAGAAAGTTTAACCTTGAGAAGATAGGCGTGGTGGTGGTATGATAGCATTTTTCAAATATCTGAAAGAAGGTCACATAAAAGAAGATCATGACCTGCTCTCTAAAGTTCCAGAATCTGGGACACAGAATAAATGAACAATTTGTAAGAGGGAGATTCTGACTGCATATTAAAAAAAATATATATATTCTCATCTTGTTTAATTCAGCTTGTCACATGGCAGTCCCACCAATTCATACAGTTTTTAATGGACTGTTCACACTGGGATTTTGTTTACCCCGAAACTGGTATACAAAGTTTCAAAATGTGAACAGTCCATTAGAGAATGTATGAATTGGTGGAAATACCATGCAATGTACCAAATTCAACCCAACAGTTATACTATAAAATCAAACATTCAAGTGAAACATTCTGGTGATTTCAAGGATATGTCCTTCCAGTTTTCTTGGCTACAATAGAGAACAGAAACCCCTTATGGATTTTTTGCTGAACAAAGATAAAAATTAACTTATGCTTTATGGGTTCGAAGATTAGAAAGAGTCGCTTATGGAAAGAAGGAAATTATGATGTAACCTTAGAGAGAGAGGATAAAATATAAATACATTTATAACCGCTGTCAAAAAGATTGGAAGCCACTTCTTTATAATCTTTTATTTCTATTTTTATTTCAATTTCTACAGTATTTCTATTTCTACAGTATTTCTATTATTTCTGTTTCTATTTTCTTTCTTACTTATTCACTATTTTTCCTTATTTTCTAATTTATTTTTCTTTTCTAATATTTGTATTGTTTTTATCTTGTTAAAAATTTCTTCAGTAAAAATTATATTAAATAAAAGAAGAGGTTTGTCATTCCCTGCTCATTTTAGTGTATAGGATTGGAATGCCCTGGTAGTTCTTTATCCAAGTCTAACCCCGCTTAGCTTTGTGAGATCTGCTAAGGTTGTCTACTGCTACCAGTGCTAAAAACAAGGCAATAATGTATCTTCTATTGCTAGGGTATAATTTTACAATGTAAGAAAGATAGTTGGGGCTTAATCTGTGTCAGGGGTCTCTTGAGTTCAATTGTAGCATCTTTTTTCAAGCCCAGGCTTAATCTTGACATTTATGATGGAAGAGAAGTGAAAATTGCCTTGAGCAATTGTATGTTCTCAGCCTTTTAAAACGTTTTACAATTCCATATGTTGGCAGGGAAGGGAGAGACAATTAAACCTTTACTAATCAATACATTGCTTTCTTTTTATTAGACTCTGTGTATTTAATCCCAACAGCTAGATGGTAGCACCGGTTTGTACATGCATTTATGAGCAGCAGATACTTGGACTAAGGATGCTGAACTGATATTTACATATAAGACAAAAGAAGCATTTTTCTTTCTCTACAGAAAAATCACTGTAAAATCATAGGAAGTTTGCTTTTCCACAAGGAGTTTTTGTGCATATAAAGTGAAGGGCTAGCTTGCCTATAATCTGCCAATTAAAGGTAATCAGGAACAATATAAGAAAAAAAAGAGGACGGGGGAGTATTAAAGGGAAAGCCTTTGAGTAGATGGGGGTTTATATTTTTAAGTCATTGTGACTTAAATGTGACCATTTAGAATGTGTGTTGAATACGCATATTATGCACTGGACCTCATTTCATGGATGAACTGTTATAGTCTAAATGCATTTAATTGAAGCTTTTTTTAAAAAAAAGTTTCTGATTGTTACAGACTTCTGCTGGAATTGAAAATGAGGAAATTGACGGCAACTGTATGTGTGGATTAAGTAGCAGACAAAGAAGCAAGGTCAGTGGGACACAGCTCTCTGCAGCAGAACGTGAAACAATGGATACTTCTCCTCCTACAAATTCTTTTAATCAAGGAATGCTGGAGCTGTGTGTAGATAAACCTCCTCAGAACCTACCAGGATTGCAGGAAGCAGGTGAGACCCCCTCCAAAGATTTCCGTGTAAAGGAAGGCCTATCACACAGCCAAGAAGAGCCATGGAAAGGTCAATCAGAAGATTGCAGGGGAATAGAATCCTTTGACAAAAATGATCAATCATTGGAAACAGATGTAGAGAGCAAAGATGAGCAACTGGGGTGGCTAGACACAATGAGAAGAAAGGAGACTTCTGAAATAGAATCAAATGAAGATAAGACTTGCACAGTGCAGGATGGGAGTAAGTTCCACCCAACAGAGGAAAAGCACTGGGACCAACATATAGCAACCCAGGGAAAACAAGACAGCAAAGACTTGTCTGTTTTGGAGCCTGGCATTTCCAACAAAACTTTGCAAGAGTTTAAGAATGCATTGAAAGAAAGTCCACTGCTAAGCACCTGGACCTGGGACAGTAGCGAACTCAGGGCTGCCTCTTGCCACGCACTGCTGAAGTCTAGGGAAAAACAAAGTCAATGTATGGAAACTCTTCCTCCTCATCTAAGAGGCATTGACCAGAAAGTCCCCATTCTGCACAAGCATGGATCTGGGCAAGGAGGGAAGCCCCAACTGGTTCACAACTCTGCTGGGTTGGAGAAACAGCAATCAAAAAGTGATGATATGGAACATTCTGTTGGGAGGCAACAGACCCCTTTCCCAAATGTTGTCAGTACTCTGCCTACTAAGTTTGAGCACCCATCTGGTAAGCACACTAAGTCCCATATGCAATAGAGGGATTGTGCTGTTATCAGCTAAGCATGCAATAAAATATGATTGCTGTAATTGGTAGTATGGAGTTATATACTGCCTTCATTCAAGGCCAGTGTAATACATATAAGGAGAAATAAAAGAAAATGATAAACCACAACAATAAACAAATTATAAGGAAAATTAGTCAAAGCCAATATTAAACATATTAAAATAGCAACAAATTGTAGCATCAGAGTAGGATGAGATGGGGTGGACTGTTAGGTGCCATTGCAAAGATCTCATTCTCATCTGGCCACTATACAGAACCTATGCTGGAGAATTATGGGTTCCATTTGGGTGATGACATTTGCACATGGCAGAAGAATCCCAATTATCCTGTTTAACATTATGTCTTTCTTGGGGAAGAATGGTGTCTCTGCATGTGTGTCCTCTGTGCCATTAACAGTTAGAGAGTAGCTGGCTTTGAGTCCTACAAATGAGAAGAAATCTGGGTCAGCTTTTCTTTTCTTCTTTACTATGGTGGGGTTGGGTTGCTGTCAGAAGCTCTCAGACCCAAGGAGCCATGATTTATTAAAAAAATTTAGCTGCTGAGAAAACCTGACCTGAACTATTTCCTCTTCTCAGAGGAGCTTAGGGGCTGGTGCTGATGTGAAATTAAATGATGAACCCTGGTAGTTTGTGTCTTTGGGTTTCAAGCTGTCTCAAAAGGTCTTAGCAAATGCAATGAGTTCTTAACACATTACAATTGTTAATTGATAAGTTACTTGTAATGTGTCTTACATGTAACCTATATCTGTATAATCATCCTGTCTTCCCCTTCCTTCCCCCCTGCCTCATCCCAGTTTAAATCCTATATCAGTTTAGCTACCCTATGCATTTGATGAATTGAACTGAAGCTCACAAACATTTTTGCTTTTTAATAAAATGTGTTAGTCAGAAGAGGTGCTACCAGATTCCTTCTGATTTTTCAGTAAGGGTGGGTATATATTCAATATCATATTGTGGATACACTGCTTTAGCTTAATTTGGAACTTTCACATAAGTAGCGTGTGATTTTCTCCACAATCAGCTCCTGGCCATACCTTTGCTATTACAACTAAGCTCTTCCATCTCCTTATAACAAAAATCTAGTTAGTTTGATTTCTCTGTGCTCTTTCTAGTGATGTTCATGGGTTTAGGCATTATTTTGTGACCTATACATTGAAACGAAAGACAATATTGGCCAAAAAATTATCCAATTTATATAGCTGCCCATCTCACATTCATGACTCTGTTTACAATTAAAACATAAACAATATCCCCCCAAAAAAGCAGCCATACAAACAATACAAATGTTAAAAATAATTAAAACAATAAAAAACCATACAGAACCGTCACTGAAAGAGCACAGTCATTCAAGAACAGTATAGCTATTTATGGGCTTCACATCACTCTCTGATCCCCAGGCCAGATGGCAAAGGCAGGTCTTCAGGACCTTTCAGAAGGCCATCAAGGTTGGTTTCCTCAGGGAAAATTATGTTCCATGGGGAGGGTGCAGCAGTGGAAAAGGCCCTCCTCCTGGATCCATCAGATGATGCTCTCTAGGGGACAGAACCCACAACAAGCCTTTTCTGCTGGACCTGATGGGATGGGTAGATGTCACTGGGGAGAGGTGATTCCTCAAATAAGTCACTAGGGAGAAGTGATCCCTCAACCCAGACCCGTGCCATGTGGGACTTTAATAGGTTATAACCAGTTCCTTGAATTGGACCTGGAAGCAAATTGGTTACAAAAAGAGTTGTATGACTCTCAAGTCAAATCAAGGCTAATCTTACTGAGATTCTCTTAAAAGTCTATTAAATTCCAGTTTTGCTGAAGCAAGAGACTTCAGATTCATCCTAAATTGCATAGGAGGCAAAAGGTGGTAGCTTTGATTGGCTCCAGTGTGGAAAGGATCGTATGGACCTTTCACATAAAGGTCCAATGAATTATAGTATCAGTGGGTGAGCGGGCATCTAAAAAAGAGTATTTTCCTTTTATTGGCAGCAGATCACTAATTAGAACCCTTCAAACAACTGGCTGTGTATTGACTATCTTAGAAAAATCAATACTGGGATTAAAAATTGATTATTTTGATTGATTTTGTGCCATCAAGTTGGTGCTGACTCTTAGTGACCACATAGATAGATTTTCTCCCTGATCTATCCCTAACCTGGTCTTTCAGGTCTCCAAACGGTGCACTCATTGCCACTGTAATTGAATCCATTCACCTTGCTGCTGGTAGTCCTCTTCTTCTTTTTCCTTCCACCTTTCCCAGCATTAGAGCCTTTTCCAGAGAGCTGGGTCTTTGCATAATGTGTCCAAAGTAGGATAATTTGAGCCTGGTCATTTGTACCTCATGTAAGAAATCTGTCTTGCATAATTAAACTGTGATAGGCCTATCTTCCATATTCCCTCTCGCTTCCTCTTTATCCACCTTCCATCCACCACCATCCACCTATCCACCTTAGTGGATTAGTGGGCTTCCACAATGTATAGTGTAATATATTATTCAATATATTCCAGCTTGGTTTTCCAGTAAGTATGCTTAGGACTGCAGCCATATTATTTGTTCTGGTCTCACTATTTGAAAATCATATATACATGCAGAGATTTCTTATTAGGGCTGCACAAAACATTTAAAAGGGTCTGTTCTCAAAGCCCACTAGTATTAAAGTGGCTGGCTTCTCCTGAAGACTTGGCATGTCTGCTTTGAAGGCTTTCCCTCATGCCTGCATGACTGTGTCACAAGCGTGAGATGGGTGGCTATATAAATTTATAAACAAACAAATACGTGTGTGCATGAAGAGTCAGCCTTTCTGTTAAGACTAGCAGCACAGGTGTGTAGATAGCCAGGGAAAAACAAGCCAAGCCCTTCAGAGGAGTTGGCTACTTTAACACCTCAAGAAGTGCTTTACGTGGGCCTGTGAGTTTGAGAAGGGTCTCTTTGGAATCCTTTGCACAGTCCTAGTATTTACATCTTTTGCTAAGTTCCTTCTAGTGCAAATGTTTATCATTCAATCTTAAGACATGTTCCCTTCATTCCAACCCAGAACTTGATGCAGTTTCAATTCTTGAGATCAGTGTTCTTAAGGCCAACCTCCTCCCCTTCCAAGTGGTGTGTCGAAAAGGTGTGCTAATGGCAAATATTTAAATCCTGCCTTATGATGATTGGATTTTAAATTTTCATTTAAAAAAAGAATACCGCAGAGATTCCAGTGAGAAGAAACCGGGCAGTGGCAATTTTCTTCACTTCGCCTCTGAGATTGAGCACATTGAGGAACAGATGGCAAGGGACAATGTCCGTTTTGTCAGGTTTGAAACCACAGATATCCATGGCGTGGCAAGATCCAAGACCATCCCTTCTCGCTTTTTCCGGGTATGTCTGCATTCTTTTCTTATGCTTCCCGGGTGTATGGGCACCCTTTGCTACTCCACAAACCTTTGTTACTGCAGTATGCCACAGGGTCACCAAAACCCTTGTAGATACATTTTGTTCATTTCTCTCACTCTATTATAATGAACATCTCATTCAAGCGGCTTGGAAAAGTGGGCTCTTTTTACACATCCAAGCCTTTTCCTCCTCTGATGTATCTTTTTGCATTGACTACATTAACAAAAGGTTTGGTTTTATCTGATCCTAGCAAATTGCAAGAGTCCAAGGCAAACAACCAGCGATACAAAGGCGACAGCTTGTGAATTATTCCAGTGACAAAGAAACAACTCTTTGAGTGATTCAATCCGATCAGAAAATGCTGCAGAAATGCATGACGGTTTAAACAGTAGTAGTAGTCATGTTGGTTAAGCAACAATTAAAAATCACATTAGATATCTTCTGGTAATAGGACTATAGAAAATAGTGATTACTAGTAGCTGTTCTGCATACTGCTTCTGCAATACCCAGCACGGACAGCTTATGTGCAGCACTTCTGCTTAATTCTTATCATGAATATTTCAGGTTTCATTGGGTGATCATAAAAGTATGCTAGTACAATTAGAAATGCAGTGGCATTTGCATTCATGCTACATTTCCTTTGAACCATAGAAAAAGCATTTTTTTATTTTGTTCTTGGCTCTTGCTTCGTTAGGTTTTGTTCCTCCAGCTTTAAGGTTAGATCAATTTTATTCCACTGATGTCATTTAGGCATTAACGGATATTAACTGTTTTCCATGGAATTTAGTACGCTGAATGATAAGCGAATAGCTTTTGCAGTCATCCTGTGTGTGGGTGCCCAGCTCAGCTTTCTCAGAGTCACCTGCACTTGTTTGAATGAATGCCATCTTAAGCAAATTAAACTTGACATGGAAGTATAAATCACTATTTCAAAATACTGTTATTGCTGCTACTGTCAAACCAAGAGTCATAAAGTGCTGTAGGGCTACTTTTTATTCTTATTTATCCAGAGACTCAGGTCACGCAGAAACAGGATTACAGCTTTTTAATTCACTTTCAGAATTAAAAGCTCTACTAAGTCATGCTCACATAACTGTGCCTACCCAATTCACAATCTAGCTAGCAAGGCTGGATTTCAGAAGAACTCAGTAGGACACCTCAGTACCTCATTCCGTATGATAGCTCCTAAGTACTATAATTTCTTTCTAACATTATAGTTTCCAGCAAAGCTGGCCAGCCCCAGTGTGGCCATCTTTTCTTACTTCTTGGTACTTTTCCATCTGAATGCCATTGCCTCATTCAGTTCACATGGGAACCAGCCTTTGTTCTGCGACATTTTTCTTGTTTTCAGAACCACGTCTTGTGTTTTTGTAGTAAACTCCATTCTGGTACTTTTCCACATATGTTGCAGTCGACATCTACTAGAATAATCTTTCCGTATTGATGGCCTGCTTTATGTGGATCTCGTGTATTCCATCTTCTGTGTGTGTCCATTCATATATTCACAACACACATAGCACTAAACCATATAGCACTGACAATATGGCAGCTACAACATGACATTAGTATAATGACAACAATACTGGCATTGCATGCTGCTGTTACCGTATATTGATGTATGGTTAATTAAACCATGACACTATGATTATTGTTATTACTATTATTTTTAGGATGTGAGATGAAATCCTATAGCCCGGGCTTTACTGCGTGCACAACTAAAACACTGTTACTGAAATAGTTGGGTAGACTCACTTTTCTTCTCAAGTACTGAGTTTATCACACTATTCTTTGTTGGACTGGCAAGATTTTGTCATGTTCAGTAGGAGGCATGGGAAATGGTAAAAGGCCACTCCCTCCAATGGAGAGATGAAGGATGAGAGAAATACCCTAGAAAGCACTCCTAGCACAAGAGGAAAACATTTTCTTGCATTGGCAGAAAATAGCCGATGGAGCATCTTTGATAACACAGAGATGTGGGGTGGTGAGGTTTCCAGGTCAGGAGCAAGGTTTTCCCCCAAAAGTGGAATGCTTTATTGCCTGCGAACCATCATCTGTCCTTCTGTTGTGCTGAGGGACTGGAGGTCACCTTCAAAGGGTAGTTGTCTTTTATACCCTGGGAGATACAGTCCTTTACAAAACTGTTAGGAACACAAATACAGTGAAGCCTTTGTTTTTCAAAGGTCATGGATGTGTACCTTTTCACAATTTATCCCTTCCCTCCTGGCCTGTTTTGGGATTCAGCGAATGCTTTTTGAAATCAACATGCTGTTGCTATTAAATACAGGATTACTGTAGAACAAGCATTACTTGCTCAGTTTGGAAAACAATACAACAGGTAGCGGGGTTGGGGGCTTTTGCATTTTTTGGGTGCATTTTGACTAGCATTGAAAAGTGATGCTGTAGAGAGTTGCCTCATTCCAAAGCCACTTATGTCTACCTTTAAGTATGACTGGAGTGCCAATATTTTTAAATGGTACCTTTTACCTGGCTTAACTAGTTTTGCAATTTGAGTAATAAAGCTCTGAATGTCAGGCACTCTCTGGTACACGGGCTGTGTTAAAAGCTTTAAAGATCTTGCAATAAAACACATCTGCAATGGTTTAGCCTATTTTAAGTTCAGTCAGGTATTCACTGATTCCCAAATAGTATTCAAAGGCCAGGAACAGTGAAGGGTGAAATCTTTGTTTTTAGATTCAGACTTAGCAGTAAGATATTCTGTCTCTGTAATCTTATGAGAAAAGAAACATTTATTTCATATAGAGTAGCCTTTGGAACCCCATAGTACTGTGGGGCATTTGGATGTCTTACCAATTCACTGTATGTTGCCAGTTTTCTTGTGGTGTGTTGGGTAAAATTTTGTCAGCCTTGCGGGTAGTGCAGGCAGGAAGCCCACCCAGATGAACTAACTCTATTTTATTGTAAGGTTACATTAACAGAATCTTGCAAGTCTGAAAGTCCATTTCTCCCCCTTCACCTTTACAGCCCAAGAAATCCCTTCTGAGACATGTGTCATGGCCAAGTTCCTGCTGTGGGCTAAGCTGCCTCTTATCCAGCTGTTGGCCTGGCTGCGGCTCTTCCCCTTGTCTCCCAAGGTCATTCCTACCTACCATTACAAATTTGGTGTAAATCGTCCTATATAATTTGGATAGCACACACACCACATTCTCTGCCATGAGTTCCATCATAATCAGCCTAGATGACTTCTTAAGGATTTCCTCCATAGAATTTAAGTTTCCATCACCGTCTTTCAAGGAGGACATTACAAAAGAGTTTAAAGGGAAAATGGTGCAGGAAGGTAATTTTATACTCTTGATTCAATGATCTTAGGAGGGATCTCATTAAAAACTACAAATATATTGTTTCAGTTGTGATATACACAGCTAATATCCCCTCTTTCTTCACTGCCATTCCATCCTTTAAAAATGTTTCTACCTTCCCAATATCAGCAAAATACAACAAAATAAGCCTTAAGAAATGAAATACTCTAGGCATGTGAAAACTCAGATTTTAAAGTCACTTATAACATTGCAACACTGTTAACATCATTATCATCATCATCAATATTACTATTATTTCCATTTTTAGTCTCCCTTTGTGCTCAGAAAGCACTCAAGGCAACAAGAAAATTGAATTTGCTTCAGCTACTTTGAAGCTGAACACGTTTTTTTAAAGTAAAAACATAAATTAAAATGAATATCTGCATTCACAGAGAAGCCTGGTCCAATTGCTGATTCTTGGTATTCTTTGGAAAAAATGTAGTGAGCAGCATTAGTCCCATAATGCCACACTGTAACCATGTTAGCCCTCTTGCTGTCACCAGACCTTTTTGCCACTGTCCTATCATTTGCTGCTTTCTGGAAGGTCATTTGGGAACTGTCTTGACTGTGGAGCTCTTGGACCCAAAGCCCTGAGATGCACTATGGTATGTTTGTTGAGCCTTTTGTCTCCCCACCACACAGACGCATACAAACACACCACGTCAACTCCTTAGTATTTAGGCATCTACTTGTGTGAGTCTTCCTAATGGTCACACTTGGTTGAAAGGACATTCTGATAAAAAATATACAGTGTATGGCTTTTCTCTGGGACAAATGGTTATGGTTCCTACTTTTGATGTTTTCTTCAGAAATGTAATCTATCAATGTGATCATCCTAATTAAGGATTTATAACTGCAATATTAATCCATCTAAAACACAGCCATATGTTCTTCTTCTCTCTATTTAGACCAAAGCAATCCATGGTGTTGCCATGCCAAAAGGCTATCTCGAGCTGACACTGGATTCAAGGGATCGTGAAACAAGTCACATTTTGACAAGCAGTTTTAATTGCGACATCATTCTGAGACCTGATCTATCAACATTCCGGATCTTACCTTGGACTGAACAAACAGCAAGGGTGATATGTGATCCATTTATAGTGATGGGCAACCCTCTCTTGACATCACCCCGGCACATTGCCAAGCAGCAGTTGAGTCAGCTCCGGGACAATGGCTTTGCATTGTATTCCGCCTTCACTTACGAATTCTGTATTTATGGTATTGCTGAAATTGTAAATTCAAAGACAATATCTTTTCCTGCTGCCACCCTACTCAGCAATCATGACCAGTCCTTCATCCAGGAACTCATGGATGGCATGTATTCTGCTGGGGCAAACATTGAAAGCTTCTCTTCTTCTGCTGGGCCTGGACAAATGGAGATCTCTTTTCACCCAGAGTTTGGCCTGGGTGCAGCTGACAGTGCCTTCACTTTCCGGACAGGCATTAAAGAAGTAGCCAAAAAGTACAATTATATTGCCAGCTTTTTCACTGAGGATGGATTCTATAATTCAGGCATTCTGACCCATAGCCTTTGGGATAGCAACAGGCAGAATAATTTGTTTGCTTTGGGTTCTGGAGCCCCAGACCTCACTGATATTGGGAAGAATTGGCTTGCAGGGCTACTGGTACATTCTGCAGCTCTTAGCTGCCTGATGGCCCCAACCGTCTCCTGTCGCAAATGCTACAGTGGGTGTAGCAAAGGCTCTAAAGAGGCTGTGGTTGCCAAGGGAGCATGGAATGATAACACCTGTGCCTTTAACATCCAAAATCATGGTGACAAGGGGACTTGGATAGAAAACCAGCTTGGCTCGGCAACTGCAAACCCTTACTTGGTGCTATCTGCTACGATTGCAGCAGGTCTGGATGGTGTAAAGAGAAAGCTCACTTTCCAGGAGGCATCAGGGAAGATCCAGAGCTCCACTCTGATGAAAGGAGGCATGATCCCTCTGAAGCTGGAAGATGCTCTTGTGGCTCTCCAAGAAGATGAGTGCATCCGGGAAGCACTGGGGGACTATTTTGTCCAGTATTTTGTCAACATAAAGCAATATGAGGTGGAAACTGAGGAAATGGATGCAGAAAGGAATAAATTTTTAGAATATTTTATCTAGTGTGAAGATGAAAAGGCGCTAATAACAGCTAAGAAATGCAGCTGTGAATCAGGAAGTCCCTAGCTCACATCTCTTTTATACCATGCATTCCTTAAGTGACCTTAAGGAAGTACATCTTGTTCTCTCTTTTTCATTCTTAGCAGCAGCGCTCCTGCCTGCAATATAGGTAATAATTCACTGATTTATTGTAAATGGTTATTACAAAGATTTTGAGAAAATAATGCATATGAATTTTTTAGTAGAACATTAGCTCCTTATAGCACTTCAGTTAATACAGGGTTTTTTGGGTGAGACTGTTTTCTTTGGTGATTCCAGACCAAACCAAATGTCCTCTTGTTGAGTAGCTTTCAGCTGCATTCAGCTTCATGCCTTGTTTTCCTCTGATTAATTACAAATTTGGAGTCGGGGGGATATTACTTCACAGCATGCCATGAAAAGAGACTAACCTGTTCTGAAATAATCGAAGCAAACCTTTCTCCCCAAGGCATGGCTAGGAAAAAAGTCTCCATACACTTTTTAAAATTATTCCTCCCCCTCCCCCCCCCCCCCCCCCCCTCCCCCCCCCCCCCCCCCCCT